TAAATATTGTATCGCGAGTACAAAATAAACCCCTAAATATCGTATTATTAGTACAAAACGAATTTTAAATATTGTATCACGAGTATAAAATAAATTCTAAATATTGCTAAAACAAACAAACTTTAAATATTGTGTTACGAGTACAAAATGAACCTTTATACGTGTTTGGAGCATAGAACGAACTCACATGTACAATAAATATAGAATAAACTCACATTATTTTTTAACGAGTAAGTCATGTATACATCGAGTGCAGAGTAAACTCAAATTTATTTTTTAAATAGTTCGTTTTATATTTGTTACACGTTATATAGTTAAAGTATAATAAAAAAAATAATAATTTACATATTTTCCAACAAGAAGAACAAATAAAAGAGAGAGAGAGAGAGAGAAACGGTGAAAATAAAAAAAAAAATAAAAAGGAAATTAGTTAAAAAACAATTAAAATAGTTTTATTTAAAGCACTTGTTTGATAAAATTATATCTGGTAAATTATCAAATATAAAGCTCTATCATGTATTAATTTTACATATACTAAATGCATTACATGAAAAGTAATGTATTTATGATTTAGGGTAAGCAAATTATAACTATTTTAAAAGAGGAGATGATTTCTGTTATAAATAATTTTTAGATAATATTTAAATTCTCTTTTTAAGTAAAATTTATCTTGATAATTTAAAAATATATATAAAATAAAGCTTATCTTGTTCTCTAGTAGTGTTTATTCTCTTTATTATAGTTTTTGAATCTTTTGTTTGCACCTATTTCTTCCTTCTTTTTCTTAAACAAACTTAACTTTATTAAGTCCTTATTGTCCTCATATTTAGCTTCCGTGAGCAACACTATCTTCAAGTTATACTCTACATTTTATTTTCTTTATAGATTTCCCACCGGTAGATTATTACCATCCAAAAACTAAAATGAGATAAGGCTAACATTTTCGTAACTCACTCCAAATAGTTCATAAATGTTCCACTAATTCCCTTGTTGATGGATCAACAACATACTTTAGTGAGTTGATTATATAAAAAAAAATTAGTAAAATAACTTGTAAAAATTAGAGCTAACAATTAATAATATCAAAGAAAGAACCAAATAAGAGAAGGCTCTTGTGCGAGAGCTACTACCACAAAAAGACATCTTAATAAAAGTTATGCAACAAATGTCAACAATAAAAGCCAATAAATGTAAAAAGTTCATGTTTATCAAATAGAATATTTAACTATACCAACATGCATGGATAAATTCTCATACTCATCAACCCTAAAATCTTATTCACTCACTTTACTGTTCTTAAAATATAATAAATGTGACCTACAGAGCAAGTAGTTATAATAATAGTTACCTTACTCTAAAGACCATTTTCCTATATTAATTGATGAAAAGACTAAAATCATCAACCAAGTGAATTTCACTAAGTAAATTGGAACCTATAACGGTATTTAAAAGCATAATCCTTGTTTGCACTCTTTTAACTTTGTCCACACTATAGATT